TGTTCTAATTATACACTAATTTTGTAATTTTTTCTGAATGAAAAGTTCTTGACACACTGTAAAATTTATCATGGCGAATAGTTCCTGGCTCTTGCATCTCTGCCTATATCTACTTTAATCCAGGTAGCAGCTCGTTCAACTATAGCACTGCTTATGATAGCAATCACTTGTTATCTGGTGGTCCTGATTTCTCTGTTAGATTGTGGGACCTCTTCAAAGGAATATTGTTCCACACTATTGCAGTTCATGGTGGGTGGTCAGTAGCATTGTAGCATGTCCTCCTCATATTAATGTAAGCTTTGCTCTCCCCCTCACTCTTTCTCTCTCTTTTTCTCTCTCACACCAAAGTATTCAATTGCTAATACATGTACATGTACATGTATTTGTAGTACATGTAATACCAACATGTAGTACCCATTAAGTGTATAGTTATTAATATGCATGTACATGTAATTATTTTCACTGAAATACATGTGTATGTACATTTTCATATATTGACTACTTACATGTGCATGTACATGTATAAGTTACTAATGTGCTAAAAAGTATTGTAAATGTTTTGTGGTTTTCATGTTGCCTTCATTTGCTTACTTTTTTGCTTCAATAATCTCATTTACATTTTTTGACAGTTACACATGTACATGTAAATATCAAGTTTTAAATGCAGTGTACATATACATGTATATGCACAAATTACATTGTTTCCCTCCTCTCACTCTCTTTCTCCCTCTAACCATCAGCTCACCTAGACTCCTAGCCTTTATGCATGGAACCTTGACAGCTCACTGGACAAGTTAGTATTAGATTGGTACTAATAATCAATGTTTTGAAGAATGATATTATGAATAATGATAATGATGTATTGTTGTATTGTTGGCATTGTTACTGGGGCCATACATGTATCATCTGTCTTTCTTACTGTTGGAACTTAAGTATTGGCAATAGTTGAATTTGGCAATTGGCAATTGGTGGATTTTACATATGTACATGTATACATATATTGGTGTTGTCATTTGGTGATTTAGCAGCCAAATCCCATTGAGCAGCTCAGAATAAAACAAAATGACAGATTTTATATAAGTAGATGTTCACTGAAACCAATATTGATTCCCCACAAATGTACATATTTATATGATATCATCTCTATTTATAGGTCAATTGATATAAAATGATTGTGAAATTTTGAAATGACACATACATGTACATGTACATATGTACTTTTGTGTATGTATCACTTAATTTCTAAATTTGTCTTGTTTTTCATTTTTTATTATTTATTATTAATTATGCTTATTTTTGTTTTCATTATTATTTAGAGAGTGTGAGGATACATTAGGATTAGTAAGGTCATCCTATCCTGTCTCATTTGGTTTATTGAGTAAAGGAGGAGGACTGTCTCTAGTACTGCCTGCCTGGGGACTGGTTAAAGAGAGTCCATCACCTGTTCATAATAATGGAGGAGTGGCCCTGGATGATTTATTGATACTAAGCCAACTACCAGAAACACAAAGTATTTAATGTTTTGTTGGTAATATATTGTTGTTGTTTGTTCTTATAATGTTATTGTTATTGACTTGTTTTTAGTCATATGGGCATAAGTTGTGGGGTATTTAATTACATAGATTTTATTGGTAGCTTCTTACCTGTGGAAACAATACCTTTTAGAGGGATATACAGTACATGTACCTAATGAATGTGCATACATGAAAAATACAAACTTAAATCAGCTTATAAATTTTACACTCTAAAATTTTATACCAGTATAGTGTTATTTATGTTAATAGTATGTATTATTAATAATAATTGTTGTTGTTATTGTTGATGACAGGTGCCATCAATGCTATAATTTCATTGCATAAGGAGAGATCATTAACAGTTCCTGTTACTCTAGAGGAGGAGGAGGAGGAGGAGGATATCAATGAGGAAGGGATCCAGTCTCAACTATTCAATCATGTTAGGTGGCAGTTGTACATGTACATGCATTCACATGTTTAGATACAGTATTTAAAGGGCACATACATGTACATGTATCCACAAATTTTGCCAAATTGAAACATGTCAATCACCAAATGTTTAATGAAGTATGTATGTACATGTATGTGTATTTACATGTACTGTACTTGAAGTACCCAGTTTTGGCTATTGATTGAAATTACAATTACATTTTTACAATTACAATTTGTTTACAATTACATGTTTATTATTTTTTTAATTTTAGACAAGAAGTTAATGACGGAATGGCTCAGATAATGCTTCAGTTTAAAAATGAAATTGAGACTATGAACAAAGAAATGATGAGTGCAATGAAAGAACAACTTAAAGTAAATAGTAAGAGAGAGAGAGAGAGTTGCTTACTGTACAAGCATTACAGTGTACATGTAAAATGTAGCTTTTTATTACCCAAACCATGCGTAGGTGTGAAGCGAGGGTAATTTTTGATTTTGTTGTAATAATATAATTGGCGGTTTTTATTTTAATGATTTTTGTGTACACATACATTGTACGTGTACATGACTGAGCTTGCTCCTTAATGATTGGTGGTATTAATAATTTGTCAATTACTAATCACCAAAATAAAACCAAATTAAAGCACCATATGGTGTATGCATGTACATGTACATGTAATTGATATTAAATTTTCATCTACATGTAATTGTGTATACCATTAATGTCCATTATTTTATTCATTAT